AGAGTGACAGAAAGAGAGAGAGAGGCAGCACGCATATCCACATGCTCCAAGAACCTATTTGGAACAAGACGCAGGGGACCCATGCAGCACCCAATCTTACTAGAGGGTATGGTGACCCTTCAGCAAGGGAGTCCAGGAGGGAGTCCAGTTCTTCTCCAATGATGTCCCCATCTGTGAAGTCCTCTGCGCTCTCAGGCACTGGCAGGGACACACAGTCTGGAGACGGGAGCAAGCTGGCAGCAGGGAGCGAGGTAGGCAAGCCCTTTGCATCTGAGTCAGAGGGCAAAGGGGCCAACCTCTCGCTCACAGGGATGGAGGTGGCCACAGGAGCTGGGAGGCACTGCAGGTCCATAGAGCAGTCTGTGATGAGGGAGAAACAGAGACAGTCACTCAAGAGAGCCTCTTGCAGGGGGCAAGCAGAGCACAGCCTGGCAAAAATGTTGTACAACTCCACCAAATCACAAAACTCAAGTATGTCAATTTTCCAAGAGGAAGGGCTCTGGACTGAAGGGTTCTTGCCCTGTCATTTTTGTTCCCAGTCTCCCATGGCTCACCGATAGCTGAAATACGCTCTAAGGGCCAATGCCCAGAGTGACTGTGAGGATTTGTCAAGAATGCACAGTAACCAGAAACAACACACAACCTGTGGCTTAGCAGTTACTGAATTCACTGTGACCAGGACTAAAGGCCAGAGGCACATAATCCGATTTCCCTATAACCCACCACCTGGTGTCTTCTTTCATGTGCCTCACTAATGCACTTGCAGAGACTGCTGCCTTTACTCCTCAGAGCTTCAATATCCCAGCTGAAAGCTTGCTTACTGGCACACCCTCTCTAAAACCTAAGGCATCCTAAATGAGAGAAGATAAAAAACACAAGGTCTTGCTGAGAAGAGAGCCACAAGATCGGGTGCTCAGACCAGGTTGTGCTAACAATGTGTCCCCAAAAACCCCAGCAGACTCACTCAGCCGGTCTTTACCCCAGTAAATTCCCTGCACTTGAGTTCTTCCTGATGTCGCAGGTGGGAGGTTGCTGCCCACACTCCCCTTCGACACATCAGCAGCAAACAACCCCTTGGGAACTTATGTGAGCCAGAGTCGAGGCAGGAGAGAGGCAGTGATTTTCCCTAAGGCTTCCTTGCCTCTCCAATACATTACTGAAACAGTAAGGCGTTCCCATCATGCAATATAAACCTCTGTTAAGTGAAGTTAAGGTTACAAGCACATATTCTTCACAGAAGACCATTTTATTTTAAAAAAAATTAAAGGTTAAAAAAAAAAAGGTTCAAATGTTAGAAGTTTGGAAAATGCAGCATTACATTTGCAGTTCTCAAACCAAGCACCCAAACTACCTTAATTCTGCCCCTGTGCAGATGTCCTGGAATAAAAGAAGAGAAATAAGACAAAGATGCTACCTTCTCCATCCACACTGCAGTGGCTGCACTGTAGCTACGACGGTCTAAGGCTATAAGCAAGGCAATGTTTGGAAGGAGAGACAACAGCTTTTATTAGAAAGACTGATAAGAACAGGAAAGAAACTAGACAAGCTTCCGAGGCACAAATCTTGATCCAGCAAGAAATGCCTCATCCTGTCTGTACAAGCTCTGCTCACTCAGCCCCCACAAGAACTCAGCCATCCCTTTCTAACTAGGACTGGGCAAGTGAGCCATGTTGCTATCCTCTACGCTGCACGTTCACTTACCAAGGACTGCGCTGGTGTCCTTCTTAGAGAGCTCAGCAAATCAGCAATTCCTGCAAACCCCCAAGTCCTGAACAAAACAACAGTAGAGACAACACACGCAGGCCCCCTTATCTCTAACCCCACCAGGAGGACACCAACCCCTGCAACCTTCCCTCCAGCCTTTGTTGTGAGCGGTCCACATGGATGGACCACAGCCGAGGTCACGATGCAAGGCACCAGAGGCCGAGCCGTGACAAAAAGCAAGGGACAGTCACAGGTCCCTTTCCGCAACCTCATGCATGTGACTGAAGGAAAGCGCATGTTGTACCTTACGGGATCCAACACAGGTTTTCAGTGTTGTGGCAGGACACACTCCCCACAGGCAGCAGCTCAAAGGAATGCTGTAAAGTCCTTAGTTTTCCAGCTGCTCCTTAGGTCAGGCTAAGCTCCAACGTCATGCCCCTTTGTGATGACTTTTCTCAGCTCATCTCCCTTTGGCACCGGCCCCCCAGCTGCACTTTAGGAGCCAGCCAGCCAGCTTTCCTCAGGGCTGGCCTCATCGCTGGTAGCTCAGCCAGATTTCCCTCAGTACAAAGGGACAGCTTGTGCCTTCCCATCTTTCAGATGTTTAAATCTGGAGTACTGTCAAGATCCCTCTAGGGGCCAACAAGAAGTTCAGGACATGCTGGAAGGGCTGGGGACTCATGCAGGGGGGAGCAAAAGGGTTCACAATGACAGGGCCCCAAAGGATCCACAAGTTCAGACCTTCTCTGAGGAATGAACAAGGCCCTCCAGTTCCTGCTCAGACTGGGAAACAGAGGAAAGAGGCCCTCACAGACCCTAAGAGGCACAAAACCCTGAAAAGCTGAATGTACAACCAAAAGGCAGAGAATGATACAGGACCCCCCACAGCTCAGTGCATGTGAAGGGTGAGGAGAAGAGAAGGGACCAACAGGTTCCACTGCTTGTAAGGGGCAGAGGGGAGATGTCTACTCCCTTCTCCGTGACCACCCAAACCCCATCATTCCTTCAGCCACTTCCTTGCGTTCCCTTCTGTCCAATCTTTTCCCCTATCCCTCTTTTCCCATTTCTACTTCCCTCAGGACACTCCATCTACTGACCTCACTCACCAGCCATCATACCCACATCTCATGCACTCTCCTTCCAGAAAGCTCACACACCTCCTGCATTCACCTAATGGCTGCTCCTTCTTAAAAAAATAAACCAGCCACCTTGGATGAGTGGATCACAGGCACACACCTGCCTCCCTCTGATTTCCGCCATGCCATGACACTAAGCCCCAATTATTATTATTATTATTATAAGCTCAAATGAGGGTCTTGTTCATCCGCTCCCCTGAACCAAGTCTCTCATACCATGCCTTCCACCTGGTAGCTTCTCTGGCCACACACCTGCCTGTCCCAGAGGAGCAAGCACAGTGCTTTTAAAAGCCCTGTTTCTAGCTCTGCTTCCCAAAACAGCAGTGCATTAGCTGGCCAAAGGCCATACTGAGCTAGATCTGAGCCACGATCTGTTCAGGAGAGGGCTGAGTCAATCAGATTACTTCAAGCAAAGCATGGGGGAAGGGGCTTCAGGAGTTTGCATCTTCAAAACAACAACAACAACAACAAATCCTTGCTAAAAAAGCTTCGAATCTGAAACTTTTGAGGTACCCAGCACTCACAGCCCTCCTGCTGGCAGATCATTCTCAGGGCAATGGGATAACATGTAATTTCAGTGCTTTTGAAAAGATTTCCTAGCAGTGAAGGTTTTCTCTGCCTGAACTGCAGCAAAGGTGGCATGCTGCTCTTACACCAAATCCTGATTAGATAAAGAGCTTACTGGATGCAGTCACTCTACTCTGCAGTAGGAGTCCAGTTTATTTTAGGACAGCAAGATACTGTGAAAAACTCTCCTTAATTCACAGAACTGGGTCTCACAATTGCACATAGAATCCAATTACTGAACTGGCATTCAACAGAGAACTAACATGTTTTCCAAAGCACCCTAATAATGAAATTAGATTCTTTCTATAAAAAGAGCAATTGCTACTTGCAGTGGTAAGTCTTCACACTTACCTTCACACACAGAGGTACCTTTCAAAGGAGCAAAGACTGACGTGCTCAGAGGCACAAGCTCAATGCTCCAGCACACAACAAAGGGCAAAGCATGCAGCAAGCCTTTCGACAGGGGCAGAGTTAAGGTCACTTGTTTCCCAGCATGAGAAAAGCAACCCCATAGCCCTCCTTCTGCTCCTCCTGGGTGCCTAACCCTGAACATGGCTCTCCCTGGATCCCTCGCAACTCCCTTTGTTTTAATTTCCTCCACCTCAACGTCTCGGAGGACCATACGCGCTCAGAGCGCAAACAGCCGCCTACAACCTTAACTTCACTTTATCAGGACTGTTTTGCCTGAGAGAAGAGCTCCCTGGGCCTGGACAAAAAGCTTTTCTGCAGGAAAAACACTGCTGCTTCCCAGCACCTTTTCCTTCTCCTAGTTACCAAAGCCAGGAGTGCGGAGAAGGGGTACAAATGAAGATGATGAACCCCTCAGGCCTGCCAGCCTGGTCGGACACCTTACCGAAGCCACAAAAATCAGAGAAGAAAGATGTCTTTACCTGTTTCGATGTCATCTATCGAACCCAATCCATTGGAAGCAGTCTGCAAAGAGGGTGCAGGAAAGGGGAGAGAAAAATATCAGCAGAAATTCATCCTCAAAAAGATATTTACACTTCACAGATGATACTCTTTACTATTCCTAAATGCATCTGTCCCTTTCTTTTCCTTTATGGCCTCTTTCAGTGCAAGAGCCGTAACACCAGCAAACTTTAAGAGGCCATTAATCCAAAGAGCCTATTCATTTTTACCTCCAGCAGTGGACAAACCCTGTTGCTGTAAAAGAATACCAGCCCTGCACAATATCCAACCATGTGTGGAAATCTGTACATAGAACAGGGTTTTTCATGTGTGGATGAGAATGCTGTGTCCCAAGTCCCAGGACGCATCAATTGGTCAGCCCCACGCAGTGTGAGATCTGATCAGCCTGATCTTACACAACGTTCCTTTTCTCAGCTCACATATTTTGCAATCTAACAACCACGAACTTTTACAGCAAACGCAAAACAGGAAAAGGTTTCCGCCAAGACAACTGCTGACTTGGAGCTCCAGGCAAGGAACAAAATGAGCCCGTATTTTATAGAAGCATAAACAGAGGTAAGTATGTGTGCCTTCAGCTTAACTTAAAAAGGCACAAGTAAGCATTACTCTTGAGATACTTGCATCTACTGTAATAGTTTTTGCAGCTTCTAGCTTTTGCACTATTTTCACTTCTTGCAAAAGGAAAGATTTCCAAATTAAAAACTAGGCACAATTATTAAAGCAAGCTGACTGGCTTTCCTAGAAAGATGTGAAGGCAAGTCACTGAACAGTGGGAGGTAAACTAATTCTTTAGTATCCCATCTTGTACAAAACTGACAATTTTTATGGTTTTACAATTTGCTTGCTTTAAGGAGTAGTGTGAAGTACCAAATAGCCTGTAGAAACAGCAAGTGTTTGGGGTTTTTTTTGCCCAGTGGTGGAACAAGGAAATCAGCAATTTCTTACATTTTAGCTCAGTATTTGTACAGTGCCCTGCCCAAGGTGGATCTCCCAGGTGACAGGGCAACACAAAGAATACATAAACCGTTTATGTACCTTGCTTGTACATCACACAATTTAATCCTGGATGTTTCTTCAGCAGTTGCACTTCCTGAGTTTTACTTAGCGTTGCCCTAACTATGTAAAAACTTCAAAACTAAAACTTATCTAAAATGCAAGAGAAAGCAACCATTCACAATAATTAAGAAAAATAACCATCTTCAGTGACCTAATTACTGACACAAAAAATCTTGTCACAAGAAATATTTTCAAATAAATTAATTTCCTTGGCAATATTCCTTAAAAGCAGAAAAGACTAATACATTTAAATCCGAAAAGAGTAATAATTATTCATGTAAATAAAACTGAGAAGCATTCCAGTAGCACAATCCGTGAACAATAACAACTACAGGATGCAAACTTTACCTGGTTTGACAAATTGAGAGACGTG